ACGGATTTCTATCTGTGCTTCCATTTTAGCTTTGTCCTCCTTTTATTTTGTATCGTTGTTTTTGCTGCCGCCGTTGTCAGCCCTTGGCCTTTGCCCCTTTCTGCGCCTATCTCTCTCTCTCTCTCTCTCTGTGTGTGTGTGCGTGTCGTGCTTGCTTTGCGGTTGGGCTTCTTGCAGAGATGAACGGTTCTTTTTTTGTTTTTCTTTTCCTAATGCTTCTTTCTGGTGCGTTGTTGCTTCCGGTTTGTTTACCCTGCCGTTAGCCCCTCCGGTGCTGTTATTTTTGTTCCCCCCCCCCCCCCTGCGTCCTCGCGGACTCGTAGGCTGTGCGAAGACATTTTTTTTTTTTCTGGTGTTGGTGGTGTTGCTGTTGGTGGGGAGTAACGGGGAAAATGGGCGCGCACGCAGACGAGCCGGCGTGCAGGTTCAGCAACTAAACCAATGAACGAACAAAAAAAAAAGAAGCATGGGGATGAGAGGAAGAAGGGGGAAAAACATGGGGGAAATGCTATAGTTAAACTTCTCTGTGGATCGTGGAACTTTTGACACATACGTGCATACATGTATACGTACATATACATATACATATACATACTTATATATATATATCTCTACATATCTGTCTGGGCGAGCCTATGGATGTGCTTGCGTGCAAGTATCTTTTTTTTTTCGGGGGCTGCCTTTGCGACTGGAGACATAGATTTATGAAGAGAAAACGCACCTGTGCATGGCTGGGACATGCATATATGTATATATGTGAGTGTTGGGCGAAAGCAAAAAAAAGCAAAAAAAAACATGATAATGAGAAAATAAAACACAATGCGCATGTAAGGAGAAAATCGATGAAACTAACAAAGGGTCGAATGCAAAGAAGCAAATTCTTTGAGGGCAGTTTAGGAACAGGATGTAAGCTAGAGCCCAAACGAGGTGAAATGAATCTTGGCTTAAGGTATCCGAAGCCTGCGAGAGTGTTGCTGCGTAGGGGTGGGGAGCAATGAGAGCATATGCTGCTTTTGCTTGGTTGGTTTGAAGCTCTTTCTGTGCGTGAATTTCATTTTGAGGGAGAAGAAAGGAGGGGAAGAAAGTAATACTAATAATAATCTGGGACATATTTCACCTCTCTAAACAAACGGAAAAAAAACGAAAAGAAAGACATATTCATTTTCGTTTTATATTTATATATACATGCAAATATAAGATACCGCTTATATGCCTTGCGGATGTATAGGCTTTGACTCCTCGGGTCTGCACCTGTAGTCCTGTGCTTGTCTGACAGCTGGACGTGTCGTTGATGACTGCTCCTTTTCTTCTTTGCCTGTTGCTTCAGTGCATGGTTCGCTTGCACCTTCTTGTGTTGTCCCTCCCTCTCTCTCATCCATTCACGCTCTGTGCGGTTGTTGAGGGCTGCGCCGAGTTCCCACGTTTGCGCCACCGAAAGAGGCCCTCCGTGGTACTCACTCGCCGCTTTTGCCTTTTCGCTTGTTCCTGTTTTTCGTCCTTGTGTCCTTTTCCCCGTGTCGCGCTGCGCCTTCTCTCGCTCTCTCACGCACTCACTCACGCTCGCCAGCCCGTACGCGCAGCCGGCATGGTCACTGCGGGGATGAATGCGCACTCCGGCCAGGTGCATGGATGCAGCAGAAACCAAAAGAAAAAAAAGGCGGCGACCGACTGCTGCACGAAGACTTTTTTTTTTGCCTCCCTTCCTTTGCCTCTATCCCACGCACGCACATTTGCAGTCACAAGGAGGACAAGAATAATAACAAAACAAAAGCAAAAAGGGAGCAACAAAGCAGCAAGAACAACAGCCCAGAAAAAGGGTAAATATGGCGATGCTAAGAGAGCTGCAGCTGTGTCCCAGTCTGTTCGCCACGACGACGGATCAGTGCTCAGTTATGGCAAAAATGAATGACTGGGCTGAGTGCCTGTGTGTCCGCGTGGTGACGCCTAGCGGGGCCTGCTACGAAGACGAGTTTGACGAGGACGGCCTTTCCAGGGTGAAGGCGACCCTTGGGGAACACTTAAGCTGGGCGCATTTCTTTGGTGTAGTGCGTGTGGCCTTCAACACTGGCCAGGTGACTGTGCAAGTGACAAGCGACGCTTCTGTAGCGGTTCTGTGTCATGTTGCCTCCGCCGGCGACGACAGTGAAGGTTGTGTGGCGGAGTTTACTGTGAGTAGGGTGGATGCGCCTCTGATGCCGACGCTTGTGAAGGCGCTGGTCGATGCTTACCATATGCAGGCCCATCCCAAGGCACAGCAGCAGCAGCTGGGCAAGCTGACCGAGGAGCTTCTCCAAGCGAAAATGCGGGCGGAGCAAGTGGAAAGGGAGCTTCGTTTTTTGAAGGAAAGTGCTCTGAGGAAAATAAAACTTGACACTCAGAATACCCAGCGAATTGAAAAACTGCAGGAAAAGATTGCCAACTACACACTGAATTCCCACGATGGCAGCCATCTTGCTGCAGCGGAAAATGGAGGAGACACCCGTGGGGGGAGTTGCAGCACCGCGGCCCCCTCTACTAGAGGTCGTATTAGACAGCCGCTTGGAGAGAAGGAGTGTAAGTCGTATGATCCTGAGCTTCTCTCTCTCATCAAAAGTCGCTGGATGACCGAGTCTGATATTGACGCGAATTCCGCATCTAAGCACGTCATTATGCCTCTCACTTTATCCGCGCTGCCGAATGGAACCCCCGTGTTTGCGAACAAACAACAGCAAGTTATATGGGAAGCCCTAGATAAGTTGGATGAGTGGGACTATAACGTTTTCGATGTACAAAGCGCCATGAGCGGGGATGATTTCGCGACGCTGCGGCTTCAACCAAACGGTGGTTCGCTTTTTATAACCATGTACGCACTGTTGATAAAGTATAACTTTCTTTCAAAGTTTAACATTGATGAACAGATTGCGTTGAACTGGATCAGTAACGTCGAGGCTGGATATAATGGCAATCCGTATCACAACTCCATGCATGCGGCAGATGTTCTGCACGTCACCCACTACATGCTAAGCAGGGGAGGAATGAAAAAGCGTTGTCAGTTATCCGACCTACAGGTGTTTGCGGCCCTCTTTTCGGCAGCTATACACGATTACAATCACCCGGGTGTGAATAATAACTTTCATGTCAGGACACAATCATATAACGCAATACTTTACAATGATCGCAGTGTACTGGAGAACTTGCATGTCTCTAGTGTGTTTGAGCTGATGAAAAATCCAAGATTCAACATACTCGAGAACTTTTCAGAGGATCAACGGAGGGAGTTTAGGGAAACCGTTATTGAGATGGTATTGGCTACAGATATGGGTTTGCACGGAAAGTACATTGCGCAGTTTAAGCGTCGTCTTGGGGAACACGCGAGTTTTACGGAGCGCGAAGACCAAAATCTTGCTCTAGCCATGACGCTGAAACTTGCTGACGTCTCAAACTGTAGCCGGCCGCTTGACATTTACCTCAAGTGGAGCGCCAAGGTGTCGGATGAGTTTTACCTGCAGGGGGATCGGGAGCGGAACTTGGGTTTTGAGTGTAGCCCGTTCATGGACCGCCTGGACCCCGTCCTCGCCAAGGGGCAGATTTCATTTATGAACTACATCATTATCCCCTTTCTTGAGTTGATGGTGGGGTTGCTGCCCAACATGCGAATTTCGTTGGAGTGTGCTGAAATCTGCAGGAAGTACTGGATGCAGTCTGGGGAGAAGTGAGAGGCGTATTTTGCGACGCAAGTTGAACGGAAGCGGTGAGACACAACCATTCAGTTTATCTCAAAGCGAGCTAAATAATTTAAAAAAAAGGCATACGCAAAACGAACAACAATAACAAACCGGTTAGAAAAAAAAAAGACGAAATATCGCTCCAACCTGTCCTTTTTGTTGTTGTTGTTTTTGGGTTTATGTTTGCGGTTTTTCTTCCATTTCTTTTTTCTTCTTCTTGTCTTTTCTGGAGCTCCCCCTCTTCTTCCTCTTTTATATGCACATTACTTCTTCGACATGGTGCTGCCGCTGGAATTGGCTTGGGCGAGGCGAGAGGCGTGGATGGGGGGTGCCCGCAATGCCGTGCACTCACCCCCCACCCCCCCCACCCCCTCTCCTTCCACAGCATTGGCCTTTGTAAAGTATGAGGCGGCCAACAAAACAGAAGCGAAAAAGGGTGCGTGCAAGTAATAACTGAGGAGGCGCGCAGTTGCCATTCCTAGTTCCTGTTGCAGTGTTTCATCTCTCTTTGTTGTTATTTCTCCTGCATTTTTCCTTTCCTCTCGCCTCGGCGCATCCTGCGTGAAATTCGTAAGGGGGGGGGCAGTATGAGCTCGCATTTGTCGGAGCTTTGCAAGGCCAGTGAGGTGGGTCCCATTATAGAACAGCTTAGGCAGTTGTGCCCGCAACGCCTAAGTTTTGACGCAGCTGAGGAAGAGAAGGGGATCCCCGTTGCTTCTGGCTTTACGAGCGAGGCAGATGAGCAGATGCGGTGCACCTTTGGAGGGATTTGGGGCCATCAGGACGATGACGGCAGGACCGCGCTGCACTGGGCGGTGGCCATGCGGAATTTCTCGCTAGCTCGCACTCTCATGAAGGCTCCCTATTTCGCTCTTGCCTTGAGCGAGGATCATGGCGGGGCATCACCGTTTACAACCGCCTGTATGGTTGCCGCGCCAGGCGAGTTTCTGAGCGAACTCCTGGCCACGGCAGCGTTGCAACGAAGCTGGAAGGTGGCTCGGGAGCAAGGCGGCATAAATAATACACCGGACAGTGCCACAGCGGGTGTGGGTTCGGACGGCGCAGAGGCTATCGACGACCCCCTTGTGAAACACAAACTAGCTATTCTCAATCAAACTGACAGCCACGGGAACACGCCACTTTTGCACGCGGCGGGGCGAGGCAAACTTGCCACTGTGCGTCTCTTGTTGCAATGGGGGGCCTCCATTGACCATCAAAACAGGCGCGGGCAGTCGGCGCTCCATCGTGCTACGAGTCGCGGTGCAAGTGATGTTGTAGAGGAACTTGTGACAACAAGTCAAAAGGAGCACAGCCGTGCAGAACACCGTCGGTGGATGAATCTGCAAGACTACCGGGGCGACACCGCCTTATTTTACGCCTCCATGGAAAATAATGAAGAGCTGGGTCGCTATCTGCTGCGTCACGGGCTGGACCGCGAGATCAGGAACAAGGAAGGAAAAGAGTTTTGGGAGGTATAATGGCCTCCGCGTTGTTTCCGTTTTTAATGGCCATTGTGAGGTGCTGGAACGAATGTCTTGTGGCAGCGGCTCTTATTCGAAATGAGAACCCCCATCCTGCCTTTGCTATTCGTGTATTTCTTGCTACGGCACTACATAGTTGTTGTCGTTGTGTGTGTGTGTTTTTTTTTGTATTTTTGCTTTTTTTTTTCTTTCTCTGCGTTTGCGAGTCTTATTTTTTCCAGTTTTCTTTTTTAACTTGTTTTGGCGAAGCTAAGCGGCGGGGCGCGTTTTTTTTTTTTTTTGAGGTTGTTGCTGTGCGGCCCGGGAGCGCCGCATCGGTGGCGAGGGGAGAGGAGGGGAGGGGGAGGAAGTTCGAAAAGCAAGCAAACAAACAAACAAGGAGGCAAACAGGCCATGAATCGCCGGGAACAACGGCGGAAGCGGGAGCGTGAGGCACTGTCGCCTGCGCTCGCTGCCCTTATCGCCAACGTTTCCCCGCACGATGATGCTGCCGCGCCATTGCGCTATTTGAAGGGCTTCGCGACGCCACAGCCCGTGGACGCTGAAGGAGGGGGCGTTGTCCACGTTATCGAGGGCGACGGACTGCGTCGACTCTGCAAGGAGCTCGGGGACGGGATATTGGAGAAGGACGTGCTGTCCGTCGCACGCCGGGTGCCGCGCAGCCAATCGACGCCTGAACGGATCGATGTGACGGAGTTGTGCTTTGCGATTGCTCAGGCGACCGCCCCGGTGAATGTGCACGAGCGGCGGCGAAATGTTGGCAGCGCAGCCCCGCTCGATGAAAACGCCCCGCTGATAAAGTACTATGAGAAGGATCGCTTCGCCTCTCTCCTGGGGGGCGTCAGTCCGGACGATGCCCAAGTCGAGTGGCAGAAGTTTTTCTCGTGCCTTTCTTCACCACTTCCAATGACGCTGCGCGTGCACCGCAACGAGCGGGCCCTGCGGCATATTGCCCTTGAGTTCCTGTCACACGATGCAATGATGCGTGAGGTGGTGCAACCGATAACCCCCGTGCTTCCTCCTTGCATTGGTCTCTACGGCTGTTCCCATGCCCTCTACCACAAGGAGCCCCGAGCTGAGTATATTTGTCGAACGTTGCACGCCGCCAGCGCAGTCTCCTTCCAGGAGACCGTCTCCGTCCTGCCAGTTATGGTGGCGGACATCCAACCGCAGCACGCCGTTTTGGACATGTGTGCTGCGCCAGGAAGCAAGACGCTGCAAGTGCTGGATGAGATGTTACAGTACGGGTGGTCCACATCCTCTGTTTCACAGGGCGTAGTAATTGTAAATGAAAAGGATCGAGTGAAGGCCACACAAATACTGCCATCTCGTTTGAAGCGTTTTCACGCGCCAAATGCGATCTGCACCCGTTGTGATGCCTCTCAATGGCCAAGGTTGTTTTATTCTTCGGAGGAGGGTCCTTTACTTGCAGAGCGACGATTTGACCGCATTATTTGTGATGTTCCGTGCAGTGGTGATGGCACCGTTCGCAAGGAACCGGCGTCGGCTAGCTCCTGGAGTCCTGGCTATGTCAAATCACTTATGCCAACGCAAAAGGCACTGCTACGACGCGGATTAGATCTCCTTCGCGAGGGCGGTGTCCTTGTTTACAGCACATGTAGCATGAATCCAAAGGAGGATGAGGAGGTTGTGTGTGCCGGGCTAGAGTTGTTTGGCGATACTGTTGAACTTCTCGACGTAAATGCCATTTTGCGAGAAAAGGGTGCGGTGCTGCACTCCATTGGCGGCGTTGTGTCCCCCAACGTGGACCATTTGCAAAAGGCCACCCTGCCCTCGACTTTTGATGGCCGAAAGGTTCTGCGCGTTTTGCCCCATCGTGATGACACTGGTGGTTTTTTTGTTGCCGCTTTTCGGAAGCGATCGCTTCCGGATTGGGCCCCGCCGGTGACGCTGCATGAGAAGCTGAACCACTGGACGAAGGGAAAGTTTTGGGCCCCTGTAGGCAGGCAGGATGCTGAGTGGTGCAGTATCGTTGCATTCTACGGGATGAACCCGGACTGCACGGACGTCTTTCAGTACTACAGCACCACGTTGGGGAAGAAGGGCGAGAAACACGTGGGTCGCGGGCTTGTGCCGCTCTACCACTTGAACCCCAATGGCGCCGCGTGTCGGCGGATAGTGCTTGTGACCGTTGCCACCGCCCGCATGCTCTTTGAGACGCGGCCATACAAAGGGCCAGGCGTAGAGATTGTCTCCGTGGGCGTCCGCGCCTTTGAGGCGTACGATGGCAAATTCCTGCTGAATGCGAAGTGCCGCTGGAGGGCGGTTGTTGAGTCCGCCTCCTATCTGGCTCCTTTCATGCGAACGCGTAAAATAGTATTGGATGTGGCGACTCACCCGGAGCTTGTACGACAATTGCTTTCAAACGGGTTTGTCTGGTTGCAGGATTACTGGCGTGTCATTTTGCACCAGGCACCTGTGGCCACGTCTACTGCTACAACTGCAGCTGCTGATAATACTAACACTAATGATGATAATAATGATAATAATAATGATAAAGACTCTAGTGGTGATGGTAAAAGGACTTATTCTGTGGAAGTTGCGGCAGACGCGCTCCCCTTTGTTCGCAGTGATGGCCCGCTCCACGCGCTTCTCACATCGACAGCGTGGGCGCACCCAGCTACGCAAGACATTTGTCATATGCTCGCGGAAGATGTGTTGGTGGGAGGAGTTCTTGTCGGTCTTGCGGGTGGCAAGTTGGCAGGCGAGGAAGGCCAGTGGTGGCTGAGCGCGACACTGAGCAGTTCAAAGCTTGAGCTGGCAGTAGACGCGTCACTTCGCGGGTTTGGTCTTCTTGCCTTTTTAGGTGTTGACTCAAGTAACACGCCGCCACGTGTTGAGGCCCCCAACGCCAAATGAGGCTGCCCGCGAAAGTTGCCTCGGGGTATTCAAGGGATGAGGCCTTTATTGGCGTGGTTGTTACGGAGCAGCTCCTTTTGTTGCTGCTGCCTTAAACTCTCTCTGGGCGTCTGAAGGCCGTCAACTAGCGGCGTTTTTCTTCTATTGGTTGCCGCTAGCCTTACTTGCACGCCTGTGTTTGAGTGTGTGTGTCGCAGTTCAATTGCCGCCAGGTCTCCGCTGCGTTTCTCACACCCGGCCTCTCTTAAACTCTGCCCTTTCCTCACGGTTTCTTTTTTTTTTTTCCGCATTTGCGTCTTGGATAACTTTTTGTGAGCAGAATGGGCGTAGGCTGAGGCGATGCAGGTTGGGGTCAGTGACGATGAGTCGAAGCGCTGCACGTACCAAGGATGCACGGAGGTGGATCCGCTTGCCTCGCGCTGTAGACTCTGCGGTGGGATGTTCTGCGCCAGCCACACCTCCGTGGCGGCCCACGCCTGCAGCGTCTTCAACGCCCTGCCCCTCACCTGCCCTATCTGCAGCCAAGCCGTGCCACTGGAGCGCCCTGGGCAGTCCCCCGACGAGGCCGTGTCGCGGCACATTGACCGGGGCTGTCGCAAGGCGCCGCCGTTGCCGAGCCGTCAAAGAGAGCGGGTGAACTACTGTAGCTACGCGGACTGCAACAAGAACGACGTGGCCGCCGTCATTTGTGAGGACTGTGGCAATATGTACTGCATTGAGCATCGTGCTCCAGCGCGTCACCGTTGCCGAAAAGCTAGGGTGCCTCGCACTGCTGCTTTTTCTTCACAGAGGAGCTCACCGAAGGCGGCAGTCTCCTCCGGTGCAGCGTCTCCCGCGCTTTCTTCTTCGTCCGCGTCAAAAAACTACCCGCGTAACACCCCGAGCACAGCCTTTGGGGTGCGAGTTGAGGGCGCCGTGACCCCACTTGTTATTTTTGCAAAAGAATTTGGGGTTACCCCATTCTTCATGTATTTCCCACGTTTGGCGGTGGTGGGCCGTTTGCTGGATCTTGCCGTCACTCAGGCGGCGCTTGAAAGTGCGGCTGTGAACGAGGCGAAGGGTGCGTGGGTGGTGCACGTGGTACGGCGGCCACACAGTGGTGACGGGTTTTCCGCGTTTGCCCCACGTTTCTCGGCGACGTTGAAGGAGGCAGAAGTGGGGGACGGTTCAATCGTGTATATTGGGAAGCAACAGGTGCTGCCAAACGACGTGGTCAAGGATCTCGCCCCGCGGCTTACAAGGGGGTCCTCCAAGGATGAGAAGGAAAAGGCGGAATGTGCCGCCATGTAACTGGACGATGCAATGGCGCGCGGCGTGGGTGCGGCCGTTGGTGACGCCCTCCCGCACGCGGGCATTGCGTGGGACCACACCTGGGCGCGCACGCGTCGTATAATACACGAAGGAGGGCGGAAGCTTTTCCACCATCCCAGCGGGGGGTCCAGCCTTTTTTTGTTTTGTTTCTTTTTTATTTGGCACTCCTAGTTTCCGTCCCGAGTAGTAGAAGAATAAGGCGATAATAAAATAAGGCCGAGTGAAAATATTGGAGGACACCTCGTGCAGCGCGGCCCCCCCGCACTGCCCCCCGCCGCGGTATTATTTGTGTTATTGTTTCTAACAGCTTTGTAAAGAGTGTGCAATTCGATGGGGAACGAAATAGAAAGAAAGGAAGAGGAAAATAAACAACCAACATCGACGCAACTGCGTGTCCTGTTCATCCGTCATTGTTGTTTCTTTCGTTTACGGGTTAGTGATGCCGCGTTGGCGGGTGGCGTGCGTGCAGCTCTTTTGCGCTCCCGCCCGTCCTGATGCCCCCCCACGCGGAGGAGACTGGCGGTTGCGGGGCCAATGTCTTCCGCTTCCTGAGTTCCCAGCGAGAGCCCGGCCATGATACGGGGTCTGAACATGTCAACTGTGCTCTTTTTATTTCTTGTGTTGCCCTGTCGTTGGTGTCGGCGTGTGTGTGTTGTTGGATGCGTCTGCTCGAAAGCGGGGACTGCTGGTCGCGGCGACACGAGCCGCCACCTCCCGCTTTTTTGTCCTCCCGCTTCCTGGGAGCGGCGTGGCCCCGTCCAGGCGCATGATGCACGCGGGAGTAAACGTGTTTCAGGACTTGCGCTGTTGCGTGTGCGTCGCGGCGCACTGCGGCCGCGTGTTCGGCCCTGGGCCCACTCTCTCTCCGCTCCCCTCTCGCCCCCGCGCCTAGAAACTTTCGGTGCCGTGTTCTGCAACGCGGGAAGCGGTCATCTCAGCAATAACGAGGAGGCGCAAGGAAGAAGAGCGACACTAGAACAAACCAAAGACAAAAACAACAGCAAAAAAAGACGCATGACGACACCGCCAAAGCCACTTCCAGAGGGCGCTACGGCCACTGCCAAGATTGTGCTCCTCGGTGAGTCTGCCGTGGGCAAGAGCTCCATCGCCCTGCGTTTCGCCCGTAATGAGTTCTATCCAAACCAGGAGACCACCGTTGGCGCGGCCTTTCTCTCGAGGACGGTGACCGTGCCGACTTCCTCCGCTTCCCCAACGTCTGACTCTACCGCCGCTGGGTCTGTGAAGTACGAGATTTGGGACACGGCAGGGCAGGAGCGGTATCGCTCCCTGGCACCCATTTATTACCGCGGCGCATGCGGCGCGTTGGTTGTCTACGACGTCACAAGCGTGGATAGCCTCAAAAAGGCGCAGACGTGGCTACGCGAGCTGCGCGCGAATACGGATCCGACCCTTGTCATCTTTCTGCTGGGGAACAAGAAGGACCTGGAGTCTCTGCGGCAGGTCTCCTTTTCTGATGGGGAAACGCTTGCGCAGGAGGAAGGCGTGAACGGCTTCTTTGAAACCTCCGCCAAAGAGAACGATAATGTAGAGGAGGTATTTGTCAAACTCGCGCAGACGCTGCTTGAACACGGCTTGGCGACGCCCTCCTCCGCCGGCGGAGCGGGTGGCGCACGCGGACCCAGGCGCTTAGAGCCCCCTTCACGCCCCCCGAAGTCGGCGGGCGGCTGTCCTTGCTGAGCGCGCAACGTAACCGAGACGAGGAGGAGAAGCGTAAGTATATATATATATATACATCCAGTGATCGTAGTAGTAGTAGTGCATTCTCTATTTTCCCTGCTCCTCTTGCGCTTTCGCTATTTCCACGGGAGGGAGGGGGGAGGGGAGGGGACGGAGGGAGCCAATAATACTAACAACAACAACAAAAACGAAAAAAAAAAACGCTGGATGAAGGTCTTGTGAGTTCAGCCGAATTCCCCCAATTTTGTTGTCTATTTTTCAGCATGTGCCTCTGGCTTCTGCGGTGTCTTGCGGCCGACTTCTCTCTGACTTCGCTCCTGTTTGCATCCTGCGATTCCCGTGTTTTCTGGGCGGGGAAGTCCTCGGCCCGCCCGGGGCAAAAGTGTCTCAGCGGCCGCCTGCGCGAAGTGGCAAAGGAGACGCGGCGGTGCGGAACAGGTTTGCGAAGCTGCGAGACGCAGAGAAGGGCGAAATTAAACAAAAAAAAAGCCCACAACAACAACAAAAAACGAAGAATAATTTAGCATGGAGGGCTCTGGTGGGGGCAAAGCGGCGGATGCGTGGTCTGCAGAGCCGCGACTCCCGCCGCTCTCACCGCCGGTCCCGCCACCGCACTACGCATCGGCGGCAGGACGCCGCGCCGCCAATGACGGCGGCGCAGTCATACGCAGCCCCATTGCGATGACATCCCCGCCGGCGTATGCCGCAACCGCAACCGCCACCGCCGCTGCTGCTTCTTCTTCTCCGGCGGCGGGGCTGGCGGTGGAGGGCGCCTCCCCAAGCTCTACCACCACTGCCGCGGAGTATGCGGAGATCGAGCAGAAGCAGGTGGAGTTGCGGAGCGTGGTAGAACATCGCATTATGACGCTCGAGCGAACACTGCAGCGTCGCGAGGAGGAGGTAGGGGCGCTGCGGATGCAGCTACGTAAAACGGAAGAGGATTATCAATTTAACTACGAGCTCATCAAGGACCGTGATGCGGCGCTGGAGGAGGCCGCGACACAGCTGCAGATTTTGTACGACGAGTTGCTGCACCACAAGTCGGAGGGCTCGGCGGCCGCCAAACGGTTGGAGGGTGCTGAGCAGGAGATCAACCAATTGCGGCAGCAGCTTCGGGAGACGGAGGTGGAACGCGAGCAAACGCTGCAGGATCTTCAGCGCAAGTATCAGCTGAAGGAACGACAGTTGAAGGATACGCTTGGGCGCAAGGAAACCTCTCTGGAGGCGGAGAAGCAGCGTCTGCACGAGGAATACCTACAACGATTTAAAGCACTCGATGACATCCAGGCAGAGACGGCGGGCAAGAGCAAGGAGCTTGCAGAGGAATTAGAAAAGAAGTGGGGCCAACAAGTGAGGGTGCTGGAGGAGAAACTGAGTGCATCCACCAAAGCGATGGATGCCACCCAATGTGAGAAGGCGGCTTGCGAGTCTCGTTACGCGGAGGTGTCCCAGGCACTATCGTTGTTGAAGCACGAGCATGCGTCACTCCAAGAACAGCATCAACTTGCCATGGCAGAAGCTGGTGAAAAGCAAAGCGGCCTCGAGGCGAAATTGAATGAGTGCAGTGCCCTCATGGGGCAAGGCATTGCCACCGTGGAGGACAACATTCGTCAGCAAACGCGACGAGCCACAAAGTTAGAGATAGAGTGCGGTCAGCTGCAGTCGCAAGTGACAGAGTTGCAAGAGCGGCTGCAGGCGGCCCGAATAGAACGGGAGAACGAGGCGAAACGCTTCATGGAGGAAAGTCTTCAATTGCAGGAAAACTATCGTCAGGCGGGGAGGCAGATGGAAGAGCAACGCCGGAGTTGGGCAGACACCGAGCGGCAACTGACGCAGCAGCTGCAGCGGCTGCAGGACGAACTGGACGAGGCACGGAGGCAAGGCGACGCGGCAAAGAGTCGTATAGGCGAGCTGCAAACTCGCATTGAGGCCTCCCAAAGAGAACGAGACCAGAGTGAGCAGGAAGTTGAGCGTCTGCGTCGGGAGCTTCAGCGCTGTCGTGAGGAGGAGCAGCGCACCGCAGCACAGGCGCAAGAATCGCAGCGTGCTGCGGAAGAGAAGATTCTTGGCGCCTCTCGTGAGGTGGCGGACGCAAAGGAGGAAGTGGAGCGACTGTCGAGGCGTCTCTTTGAGGCCCAGGAGCGGTCCCAGTCAGAGGCGGCGCGGCTTTCGCGGGAGTTGCACGCCAGCGAGGCGGCACGTGCAGCTCTGGAGGAGCACTTTCGTCTTGCAGAGGACGCCAACGGGCGGCGGGCACTTCTCGAGGGCCTGCGCCATGAGAAGGAGGCACTGGAGCGCAAGGTGCTAGAGTTGGAGCACACAAATGCGGCGATTCGCGAACAGGTGGCCTCCTTCACCATGGAGCTGCAAAACGACCCTGTGGTAAAGTCGGCGAAGGAGACGCAGCGTCGCGTGCAAGAGTTACAAGAGGAGTTATTGCAGGCCCGGGACGACACCCAGCGTCTCCGCGACACACTCCGTGAGAAGGAGGAGGAGTTGTCGCGTTACCAGCTGGAGATCCTGCGGGCGCGGTCCACAGAGACGGCGGCGCTGCATCAGCGCGACCAGGAGGACCAGCGCCTTCGTGAGGAGTATCAAAGTGTACGGAAGGCCTATGAGCTTATGCGAGAGACCCTCAAGGAGCAGCAGCAGCGTCATCAGCAGCAGCAGCGACAGCGTGGTAGAGCATCGCCCGGCAAGCTGGCGACAAAGGATGAGGAGAGCGGCACGGAGGAAGCTGACAGGAATGCTAGACACCGGCGTGGTGAAAAAGGGAATCGGAGTGAGGCAGACAGAGATACCGTCTCGATGCGGGAGGCGGAGCTGTGGCGGCGGAAGTATTTGCAGCTTGAGCAACACGTTCGTGATGTTCTCCGGGAACGTGATGGATTGGCAAGGGAGTTGCAGCTCACGCGTCAGGACGTCGACGCACTAACAAGCGAGAAGCAATCGCTCGTTGATCTGAACTCCTTGTTGAAGGCCCAGCTGCGGGAGGCCTACCGAACAACCTTAGAGTACCCGCAACTGACGCCACCGCCACCGCCACCGCCACCGCCACCAGCATCGCCGCCGCCACCACAAAGACAGCAGCGGCAACCATGCAGTGCCCCCGTGCCTGGTGACGTCCATTTGACGGCCGGGAGGACGGCGGTGCGAGGCTCGCCTCCGTCCATGCCTTCGCTTGCTGTAGACGCTGTCTTCGCCGGTGGCTCGGCCCCGCAGCCTTCCGTCGACGCAGAGCGCCTTGCCGCCTTGGAAGGGGAGCTTGCGGCGATGAAGGCACATATGCTGAGCCAGCGCCAAGGCGTTGTCACACGTGCCTCTCGAACGAGTGTAGGGGGCGCTGCCGCCAAGGAAGGCGAAACACGAGGGCCACTGAAACAACAACAACAACCACAGCGACGTGCGCCTCAGACCGCACCGATGACTCGATCTCTCAGCAGGGGCGGAGCGCCGGTGGTGCACCGAGGCTCCACCGTGGTGCGTCACTACGGCTACTCGTAGGCGACTCCGAGGTGCTCTTCCCCTTCTTGGGTTTGTTTTTGTTTTTGTTTTTTTGCTTCGCCTCGTCTTTTTTTGTTTTTGTTTGTCTGGCACCACCTCCGCGTCCGATTCTCCTCCATTGGTGTGTATATCTGCTTTGATACACGTGTATAAATATACACATGCATATATAAACCTGTATGTGCCTTTGTGTGTTTTTACCTGACGAGTGTATCTTTGAGCCTGTCGCAGCTATTTGCCGGGCGTGTGCTGCACTGCGCTTGCACCTATTTCCGCCCTGCGAGATTGGTGTAGCATATACGTGGGGCGCCAGTCTGCATCATAGAAGAAAGGTAGACAGGTGGCTCCCGCACAGGTGGAACACACACACACATAAATACACGTGCACACGAAACAGGGAGGGAAGGAAGTAAGTCAGAGTGGAGGTAGGGGGTAGCGCCGGGGGGACAGCAGCAGCATCAGCAGTGTCTATCAATCAATCAATCAAACAAACAAAAAAGCTAGTAAACTGATAACAAAAGCAAGCAAGCAAGCAACAAACAAACAATAACGGGAATCAACAGGGCCAAGGCGGGGCCGGCTCAGGTGACGAGAAGTTCAGCAGGATGGGGGGCAACAGCTCGCGTGAGCGGCGGGCCCAGCGCCGTAACCACGGTGGCGCGGTGACACCTCCGGTCAACATGCCCCAACACCTAGCAAACCAGTATAACCAACGGCAACAGCAGCAAAACTCCGGCAACAACGTGCCTGCCGCGGCAAATCAAGATCCTTCGCGGCCAGCAGCAATGGCGCCGCCGCCGCCGCAGCAGCAGCAGCAGCAGCAGCAGCCACAGCAACAGCAACCTCCGGCTGGCAACAATGAAAGCAACAACTCTGCTCCCAACAACACCAACGCCAACACCAACAACACCTCGGCCAATAACAATCAGCGGGGCGTCCAGGAGGGGCAAATTGTGAAGATGTTGGCCACTATTGACGCCTCTTCAGTGAGTTACGACCCAGATGTGCAGCGTCTGAAGTTTCGTGTCACAAGCGTGTGTCCGTTTTTGTCGTACGAGATTCATACTGGTGTGAAGGAGTTCATCAAAGGAGGAGAGGTCTATTACATGCCAAACAAGCCCAAAATGGAACCACCCCGCCTCACGCTTGAAGGGCCGCAAGAGAACAGGGAGATCAATGTGCGCATTGATGTATCCAAGTTGGAAGAAAAGGAGCGTGTTTACAATAAGCATTACCCCAAACAGCAACCTTGTGTCATTGTTTTACGTTACCGTGTAAAGGAATTGCGAAGGCAAGATGATAGCGCCGCAAACAGCTCTCCAGTAGAGGAGATTGTGGAGCACACGGAGCACACCGCGGTGGACCTTGCTGAAACACCAAAGCGGCGGGTCATCAGCCAGATTATTACAGCTGGAGGTTCCGCGTATGTGGTAGAAGACCTCTTTGGAGTGGATGGGGATGCGCCAGGTGCGGCTGGTGGGCATCCGGAGGTGATGCTTGGGACCACTATTGTGCCCCACGAAGGGGAGGAGGACGAGGATGGATTGTGTGTTATTTGCCTCACTATGCCAAAGGACACGGCCGTCATGCCGTGTCGCCACATGTGCCTCTGCAAGAACTGTGCCCAAGAGTTGATGCGACATACACCCAAGTGCCCCGTATGCCGCGGCTCCGTTTCGACACTGCTGCATATGCCATCGTTAACTGAGAACGCTTCTCCGTGAGCAAAAAGGCTGACATCTTGGACCTCACTGAAACAGTTTGCTTGGGCCACCAAAAGTGCAAGAAGTGGAGAGGGGTCGGGCAAAAACTGTGAAAAAAAAAAAGGAGAAACCGAAACGAGAGAAAATACACAACGAAAGGCACGAGCAAAGAAAAAAAAAACAACTAAAAAGCTAAAAAAAAAAGATGGCATTGGAGAGATGGAGGGTGGGTGCTTCTGTAGTGGGGAGGATGCAGTGGTAGGGGGGCGACGACGCACCCACTAGGAAGGAGGAGAGTGAAGGGGAAGACGGGGAAGAGGAACGGCGACGCCAAACTCGTGGAAGAGGACAAAGAGAGAGGGCCACAGGCAAACGTGGCGCCTCCGATTTCCAGCTTCGTTGACCGCGCTGGGGCCACTGTGTCGCAGAAGAGTGGAGGGGCGGCCATTCTCGAAGAAACATGGGCGGAGGATGGAGGAAGTAAAAGTTGGAGCTATAAAGTGTCCAAACCCATGTATTCGGCCTTGGGGAGGTCCTTCTTGTTACTTCTGAGCTCAAAGCCTCTTGCACGACAGGTTTTGCAGCCGCGGCGCCGTCCTTCAATGCCATGCGGTTCATTCACATGTGACCCTTCACTGGCCGACTTTGGGCGCTGTAAATAGATGCGACTATTACTAAGCGTCTTTTTTTTACCCCTCCCCTTTGTTGTTGTTTATTTATATGTTTCTGGGTGTACTGCCTGGGGCTTGCCTCTACCTTTCTCTGCCAAGTGCTGAGGCATTTGACCGCCCCCCCCCCCCCACTTGTTGTTCAGCCCTCGTTGCACATACGCATAGACATTTCGCTGGCAACAACGTAATACAAAACAATTATCCCTATCCCTCTTATATATCTCTCTCGAAAAGAAAAGAAAAAGAATCTAATAAAGAGAGCAGCAAGGGAGGCACACGCATGTACACACAAATGCTTACTAAGACTTCTTTATGATTGTGCGAATGCGTTATGTTTCACTTCTTTTTTTTGTTTTGTTTTGTTTTTGCAGTGTGTATCCCCGCCTTTTCTTTTCGCTTATCATTGCTGTTGCCATACATGCGTCTTGTATTCCATCCTCCTCGGCCCAGGTACTACGCGATTTACTTTTCTCCATGTGTATTTTGGTGTCTTGTTGCTGCCGTAGCTGCTGCGGCTGGAGCCAAGAAGGAGAGTGCAGATGTGTGCGGAGGAGGGAGGTGATGTAGGAGAAAAAATAAGGGAGAGGATGCACTCGCGTGTACCAATAGTTCGCTGCTTTTCTTCTTTCTTTTTCTTCTGTGTGTGTGTGTTTTTTCGCATATTTGCAACCTGAGAGCGCCCCGTCGGCGATGAGTGTGGCAAAACAGCAGCAAAATTGTAACCGGGCGGAAGTCAGATACATATACTACATACAAGGGGACAGGGGAAGAGTGTGCGGATCGTTTCTCCGCTGTGTTACGTTTATTCCTGTTTGCTTGGCCGCTTTTTTTTTGTTTTTCGTGTGTCTGTGTGTGTGCTTTGTAGTTAGAGGGTGAGGACTCTAGGCGAGGGACTTCCTGCAGTGTGGCTTGAAAGTAGTGAGGGTGAGGGGCAGAGATGGCGAGTGACTCCTGCCCAAACTGCTGCGCCGTGCTTTCACTGCTGGGCATTGTTCACCTTCTTCTTTTTGGTGGCATGTTCCGTGCGCGGGCGGTTTCATTTCATATCACGAGTGTAGAAAATGGCTGGGATATAGATGAAAAGGCGCGTGCCTGCTTTAATGGGGCCATATTTTACGGCGTCACCCTCTTTGTGTCAGTTGCGGCGCGCATCTACACTCGGCGTAGCCAGGCCGCAAGAGAGGCTCTGTTAGAAGCAGAGCGACTCCGTGAGCGTGCCGAATTGCATATCGGATAAAAAGGGCAGGATAACGGCAACATCCCCTTCTTTTTCTCCCCTCTTCTCTCTCTCTCTCTTCCTATTCCTGCTCTTTCGCGCTCTGGTTCCTTGTGTAGTTTTTGTTTCCTTCTTTCGTGCTGGGAGTGGGGAATAGTTGGGTGGAGACGAGGTGTAACAGGATTGGAGTATGTGAGCTCTATGGTCTTCGCGCGGCACATTCGTCGCTATGTAAGAGACAAATATGCTGAGTGAGGGGTGGGGGGATCTGTGTCTTTTCTCCACTCCCATTGCCTCGCGGTGTTTTTTTGAGCACACGCACTCTGCCGTGCGATAAGTTAGGGAGGGAACTATATATATATATATATATATATATATATATGTGCATCGGTTGCAGTGATAGCTTCTTAGCCCTCACCACACACGGGAAATTTGACTCTGTCTTCGCTGTTACACATGCTCCGTGATAAGTCCCGTTGGGAATCCTCCATATTAACAAGTTCCCTTCTTGCTCCTCTTGACGGGCGCGTCTGCGCTCTTCCCGCGCCCATTTCTGCCCTTCTCCCGGAATGTGCCATACGCGCGCGCCCTACTGGGTGGCACCACGTCTCCCGTTGCCTCTTTCTTGCCTGGGTTTGTTTTGGTGTCTTTTTTTCGCTTCGCTGGGCACCGACACGCAACATAGAAAAAGAGGCGTGAAGGTGAGAAAATAGCAAGAGAGGGAGAGAGACTGTGAGAGTGAGTGTGTGAGGGCGTAGTAAGGACACCTCACGGAGAGCAACGAAGCGCAGGACAAGGGACGGCGCCACTACAGTGAAGAGAGTGAGATTTTTCTTAGCGAGACGTGGGCATTTGCACCGGGAAACGGAGCGGAGGACAAATAACGACAACACCACAAGACCAGTATAAGGCCAAGGGGGAAACATATTCAATGGATCAGTTCAAGCAGCCTCTGGAAGGCATTTTTCGCGACGGCATTCCTGCTCCTGTCCTTAGGGCCTTTGCGCCACTCTACCAGGCACTGCCCTCGCTTCAAGATGCAGTTACTTCCAGCCGTAACTGCTACTACTGGCGCGCGAACCCACTCAAGTGTGTGGAAGAAGATGTGCAAACGGTTACCTCGTTTATGCAGGCGAGTGAGGCATCCTTCCGTCTCTGCCCTCAACAGAGCGCCACACTTCTGAAGTGTCACATGACAGAACCTGCTAGAGCTCTCTTCTTTTGCCGTGACGAAGAGTGGGAGTGGCGAACGTGCCTCATGGATCAAACGGGTATCCGATTTTGGCCTTATGCGAATGCGCCGGTTGGTGCCCCGTGGAGTAATGGAGGTCAAACAGAGGATTTTCACCTGGAGGATCGCTTCTTCTATGAAAACTTCTCGTGGTGGCGACGAAAGGCCGCGATGCTCGCCGTGCGTCGCCGGGAGTTGGAGGTACAAGCCCAGCGAAAATATTGGTTGGATGAAAAGAAGCAAAGCGAACAGGGGGATGAGAAGCAGTCGCTAGTGCCGCCGAAACCAACCTTGGCCCCTGTAGGAATCAGGATGGATATTAATTAGAAAATTGCATCCTGCATGGATGCATAGGTGTGTCTGCGGCGTGTGCGTAAAACTTGGCCACCTCCCAAAGTGACATGAAGGAGTAAGGGGAAAAGGACGGAGGATGAGAAGTTTGGCGCCACAAAATATGTTGTCCTTGTAGATGAAGAGAGAGAGAGAGAGAGAGTGTGTTGCAGGACTTCGTCACGGTACGAAAAATGGGTTTGTGGGGGAGGTATTTCTTAGTGTGTATTATAGCTCTGAAACTGAAGCATGCTGGTATGTGGAAAAGAAGTAAGGGGTCGGGCATAAGGGAACTAGATCGTGTCTTTTTACAGTGCGGTACTTGCGGTCAGAGTGGCAGTGAGGAGGTGGTGCTAGTGGAATTGCTAATAGTAGCGTAAAGGGAGTCGTGAATGAAAAGATCCCTTTAAATAGTTGGCGTTTTTGTTGTTGTTTTGTTTTGCGGCGCTGGTTTGTGACTCGTGGTTTTCAAATCGCCCCGGCTTTTTCCTTTCTTGGGATACACGCGCTTCTGTGTGTGCGGGGACTGCGTTGGCGCCGTGTTCCCCCTGTGCGCGAGGAAGCGTGGGTAATACAGGCTTGAAGGAACGTCGTCAAGCAACTTGCGCTATGGAGCACGGACACTCGACAGAACCGACGGTTCGCCACTACAGGCGAATATATATATATATATATATATTTGTATTCGCTCTCTCTCTCTCTCTCTTTTGTTGCGTCCGCCTCTCGCGGTCTCGTTCTTGTTATACGGTGATGCCCCGCGTGTGTGCGTCTGCCTTGCCGCCTTACCGTCCGCTTCAATGTTGCGGCGTCGCACCTGCGGCCACAGGCACAGGTGTGGAGAGTTGTGCTGTGCCCTGTTTATTCGCTGTTCATCGGTCTCCTACCGCGTGCTGCCGTGATTCTCTGCTGCGCTGGCGACATTTCTTTTCTCTGCGTTTGCCACAGGGCGTCGTGTGTGTTTTTTTTTATTTTGAATTTCTGTGTCTTGTGGAATTCGCTCTCCTTTGCACTTATTTGCTTCTTCGCCGTTCTATGTAGGCACCTCGAGCAGAGTAGCGGGACGTGTCGCGTCGGCGTTTCGGGCGGCGGTTGATGCGTGGTGAGGCGTCGGATCTCGCGGTTGGGCTTCAACGGCGCGGCTGCACCGCCGCTGCCCTCACGGAGGAGGCTTTGCCTCCTGCGCTGCGGCCGCGGCCCCGCTTGCCTTCGGCCAACACTGACGGTGCGCCGTCTGTCGTCCTTGTGGGGCCGGCGCCGCCGACGTCATTTGCGCGGCCGCAGCGCGAGCACACCCCGGCGAGCGCCAGTGGCGTTGGGGGCGACAACGCAATGCCTGGGCACCTGCCGCGCGACGAGGAGGCCTCCTTCCAGCAGCATGCGACTCTGTGTGTTTCGCGTGCCTGTGAGCTGGGGAGTTTGCAAGGGGAGGTGGAAGTGGCGGCGGGACAGGCGTCCCCCGCGATGATGAGCAGGTGTCCCCGCAGCCCAAGCACGGTTGCCGGTCGATACGAAGAGGCAACGGAGGCGGGTGTGGTCTCTGGGCACTTTTCCCCAACGTGGTTCTGCAGACTTCATAGTGCGGCTGGAAGCGGCGTTATTGCGAACCCGCGTGATACGGAGACAAGTACCCAAATGAAGCTACAAAAGGACTTGGATGAGGCTGCCGTGTCTGAGGGCGGCGATGGGCCACTCGTGGGGAAAGGCGTGTGCGAACAATTACGGGAGGAGACCACAGAGTTTTCACCGGTTCCTCTCTGCCTCCACGACGGTAGACTGTTTGCGGATTGCACAAACGTCGATTGCCCGACAGGTGGAAAGCTGAAAGCACCCCTTGGGCCTGCTGGTATGAACCGAAGTCTGCACGGCGTGCAGGAGGACAGACGCCCTATTCAATACCGAAAGTGCAGTTCGGCTGTTTCATGCGAGGGGTTCAAACACGCACCAGAGGCCCAACTGTCTCCGCCCCCGCGTACTCCTCCGTCCTCGGTCAGTGTGACTGAAGGGGAAGGGAGTGAGGCGCCACAGACACGTGTACCGCACGAGGGTGACGTGTGTGGGGTTACCAGAAAACACTGGGTGTTGGAAGAAGGTCCTCGACACTGTGGGGAGGCGGAGGAGGAGCCTGTTCTTCTTAGCGTCCTCCTTGATAGAGGCTGCGGAAAACGGTACGAGGAGGAAGCCGCCTTTTGGAGGCGCCGTTGTGCCCTTGCAGAGGAACAGTTGGCGATGGCCGTTGGAGGGGAGTGCGCCCCCTGCGCCTTCAATACAGCGCAGTCACTGCCGCAACGATGTGTGTCTTCGCCCCCAGAGGCTGGGAGCCTTTCGCGGGCCTCTTCTTCACGTCCTTCCTGCTTAGATGGCATCCGCCTCGGGACAACGCTGGCCCCGGGACAGGGTTGCTCCGTGGCTCCCCAAGTGAGCGAAGGCAACGAGGCAAGGACGAATGAGCAGAATGGGGAAAAGGATTCCATACAAATAGAAGAGCACCACGTCGCCTCCTCCGCCCGTCCAGAAATGTCCAATCAGGGCACGGCACCCAAGACGACGGCGGAGCAGAAGGATCGGTGCATATTAGAAAGCGAGTGCGGAGTAATGCCGAACACGCTAGATCGCCTCCGCTCAGAGTGCGAGGCTCTGAGGGGGGAATTGGCCGCACAGGTTGTCCGCAATGAGAATCTAGAAACGAGCCTTGTCGCGAAGGAGGAGCAGCAAATGGCCCGCCGTGAGGAGTGGCTCACGCAGGAAAAAGAATTGAGGGGCAAGCGGGAGAAGCTGGCGACTGCCTTGCGCCTGGTTCACCGCAATCTCGCTAGCACAGCCGGAAAACTTGAGGAACGCGAAAAGGAAATTCACGCCGCCAGGGCGCGGTGTTGCCTTCTGGAGGCCGAATTAGCGGCATCCAAGACGGAAGTTGTGGGGCTGAAGGATGCCTCTGTGAAGCGTCTGGAGGAGGGACAGCGGTTACAGCAACAGTTGGAGCAACTCGAGGCGGAGCTGCGTCCGTGCGACACAGACACGATGAGCACAAGCAGCATTGCCGGCAGTGCCAAGACAGAGACATATACGGGGGACAATAGAGACAGAACGACGTTGAGTGATGTCCTGCGCGAGGAAACGGAACGACGACTGAGAGGTGTGTTGGCGGCCATGCGTCGGGGCGAGGGACGCCAGGAGTGGATTGTGTCACAGTTACTCGACACAGTAAAGGCTTTGGGGAGGGAGGACGTGGACAGAGACGTGTTAGTAAAGGTTGACAAGAAGCTTCAGCAATTGGTGCAGTCGCTTGAGTTGCTGCTGAATTTTGAGCTCGAACCCCCTCACAATACGTCGGGCTTTCCCCCAGCCGAAATTGGGCCGTCTGATGCGCCGCTGGCTATTGTCCCTGATGCGGGCGTCTTCGCGGACCTCGTGGGTCGCGCCCAGGAGCTTGTGTCTCAGTTGGCGGAATGGTCAGGTGCACTTCAGAGGCGCCATGCGGAGCTGGTTGAAGAGCTCGAGGTTGTTCGTGCGGATCGGAATGAGTTAGTGGGGCAACAGAACCTGGGAGCGCAACATCTGCAGCAGCTGTTACTTGCAGCTGAGCAAGAAAAGAAGCGGCTGACACTTCTTCTTGGGAGGCGTGAAGCGACGATTCGGAGACTGAACGAGGAGCCGATTTCTACCGGTGATTTGCTCAAGCAGCCGGCAAGAAGTTGCCGGGACTGCCCTCCTGGGGCGGCGCAGGACACTGACGAGGACACGGATACTTTGCATGGCCTGCATCTCCGCGAGTTGGAACGGGCCTTGCTGCACATTGGACGACAGACGGATGCCTTTGCCGATTCCCTCCACGCCCTGCTCATGGAGACTTTGGTGGCAGTGGCGCAGGCGCACAGGAACCAGCTGGCGCGGGCAGAAGCGCGTGGCGCTGCGCTGCAGGAGCAACTGCGGCACCTTTGCGAAGAGGGTGCGGCGAGGCAGCGAGCCCAGGATGATTCTCGTGCGCTCTTGCAGGCTCAACTCGAAGGTGTGCAGAATGAGCTTGCCGACAAGAAAGGCGCGCTGCGCACACTCCTGCAGTTGAACTTGCGTCAAGGCGGGAAGCCGTGGCGGGGGATGCGCGAGGAACGGCAAGAGGGAACGCCCCAACACTTGGTGGGTTCGACAAAATCTTCTCCTCGACGCCTCGCCTTATCGCCGCCCTTGGGTGATGAGAAACGTGGCGGCGACGTTTCTACGGGCCTTGTGCTGGATCCACCCCATGCGGCTCTTCCCCAACGGGCTGCGTGCGCCGCGGCTGACGGGGCAAGGGGCTCCAGCAGTGCGGAAAGGACAAGCACAGCGCGAGGGTCACCATCGTCGTTGGTGCCTGCTGCTTTCGCTGGGCATGACAAACAGGGGCAACTTGGGCACCTCCATGCTTCTCCTCAGCGGCCCCCTGGGAGGCAGTGTCTCTCTCTCCCATACTCTGGAGGGATTGCCCCCAACTCTTCGTCGTCGAGCGACGCTGCCGCTACCTCGCCGCCGAAGGGAAGTACTGATAGGCACCACAGTTGTAGCTCCACGGTCCAGCGAGGTACGATGCGCAAATATCAAGAGGTATGGATGCGCCAGGCCGAACTGATGGGACTGTTGAGCGATGAGAGAGGGCACGACGAATCCCCTCAGTTAATCGCTTTGCTTCGGTCAAATAAGTAACTTTTCCCCTTTGAAAGGGGGGCAAGCGAATATGTTGACGACAAGGATGCGACAGGTGAAGAAGCGTGTGCCGAACTACAATCATCATCGTCATCGTCCCTTTTTCACCGATGCGCATTTACATTTTTCGGTATTACATGGCCGGTTACCAGAACCGTATTCTTTTTGTTTTGTTTTTGTTTTTGTTGTTAGAACCATTTGCCTCTTGACTATTTGCTTGGTTATTCTTCCGCGTGGAGGTGTCGGCGATTCATTTTCTCCTCTTTCTTCCCAATCCTCCTTATTCCTTTTCGCACTCTCCCCTTCTTTTTATCTTCTGCAGAGGGCGTGAGAGAATACTGTCATAGATTTTTTTTTAACCCTTGTTTTTCACTGCGTGTGAGCCTTTTGGGAGTTAGGGCCCAACCTTTTTTTTTTGGACACGATTTTATTGCTGTTGTTGGTGCATGCGGAGCTGGTTTTTTTTTTTCTTCTTTGTTTTTCTTGGAGTCGCATGCGAAAATAGTTTCCATGAGGCGTACTGCTTGCTGGTGCCGTCAGTTGCTTGGGGCTGTTGTCCGGCGCCGCTGCGGCCGCCACATTCATCTTCCCGCGGAGGGCACTCCACCTGGCGGGCGGCAAGCGGCAGACAAGAGGCCGTCTGCGCCTTCAGAGGCAACGCCAGGGCTGACATTGAACGCCCTCTCAACGGCTGTTCGCCGGCTGCTTGAGGGCTCGCCACGGCGGTGGTGGGAGACGCCTGGGCTTGTGGACACGCTCCTGACAATTCTGCTCCAGCACCAACGCGACATCCAGGGCGGGGGCAGTGCGGCGCTGCACCCCTTGCTGGGCGCGGAAGTCGTCAAGGGGCTGGGCTTCGCCGTGTGGACGGAAGCCACATGTGCCGGCGGCGGTTGGGCCAGGCGTAGCGGTCTCTCCAAGGAGGATCTTGCGAAGGCGGCGAACGGTGTGCTGCGTCCGCTGGTTCCTCTCGTCGTGCGACACCCAAAGGTGCGACCGCTGCTTCCTGTGCTTTTGGAATGGCTGGTGTGCATTTCTGACATCCCCCTCAGCGACTGGCTTCCGCAGCTCTCTCTCTACCTGGACGATTCTGCCGCCTTGAACACGGATGGTGTACGTGTTGGTAGGCCTCCGCCAGGTTTTTTGTTGCAGCACATGGCTCCTGCCTTACGACGTCGCACGGTGGATTCATCGCAGGCGGTGTCTCTGGAGCTGCATCGTGTGCTAGACAGGATGCTTCACTTGCTTGTTGCAGGGGATGGTGGTGCCGTGCCCCTAGAGCAGGCGCCAATTGGTGCTTCTAGTTCGGTGTCAGCGGGCAAAGATTTGGTTGACTGCTTGTTTTGGCAGGGTGAGACTCCATTGATACTGCGAAGCGACATTGTTCGCGAGTCCTATGCGCGCTTCTGCCAATCACCACGGCGTGATGCGAGTGAGACTTATCGACGTGAAATGTGTGTGGGGAGAGACTCTCAGCCCCTCTTGACGCTCCCTGTTGTGGATGACGATGTGTTCCGGCGTGTACTTCTGCGCCTCTTGCCGCCTGCTTTGTGCGGTGCAGTGTCTGGGGCTGCGGAAGACGCTGCCACTCCCGTGTTTCTAGTCAAACCTTTGCTGAAGCTGGATCGCCCGTCGACCCTTCTTCGCCTCATTGCGCCGTTATCGGAGTTTGTGTCAGTCGTCTTGGACGGCGTTGTTTTGTCGCCCCTGAGACTTTCTTTTGACGGCCTCGCGGCGGTGATTTATGGCGCGATTGGAGAGTTGCAGCGACTGCAACGGCGGACGCCGCCGCCCCGCTTTCCCCTGTTGCCGCACAAACCGCGGATTCACGTCCTGAAGGCGCTCTGTGATCGGTTACTTCGCGATGTGGAGGAGAAGCTGAAAGTGGCTGGGGCCGCTGTGACGTTCCCAGGGGTGCCGTTGCAGGAGCAGGCGCACACTCTTGGCTCCCTTGCGCAGGCCGCGCGCCGCCTTGTGCGGGCGGTGCAGGCGGAGAAGACATCGAGCCTCCTCGAGGAGGGACCGGAGGGCTCCGCCCTTCAGGCGGGTGGGGCTGTCGCGAAGCACAATGATGTGACCGCCATCCTGCGCAATACTGCCTTCCGCGTTCTGGAATCATCTCTTTTGCGGTACTACGACGCGCTTGGCAAGTGGTCCTCGTCAGCTGTTGGAGCTGTTGGCGGCAGCAGCGACCACGTGGCAGATGCTTTGAGCGAGATTGAACACCACGCGGGCGGCCGCGCGACGTTTTTCACGGCGCGTCATCTTCTGCAGCATCCCTTTCGTCATGACGTTACAGCCGTCACGGAGGCCTTGCGGATTGTGGCGATACAGGCCTTAGTCTTGCGTTCACCGCTGTGCATGGATTGGCTGCGGGAAAACTATGCCACAACTGTTGCTGCTGCTTTCTTTGGCACATGGCATCAGCGGATAGGAAGCTCACCCATGATGAATATGAGGGACTCGAGTAGCGCGGAGGAAGGATCATGCTGCTCTGCATTAATGGAGGCAGAGTGTCTTGTCTCATGGAGGTTGCTTTGGACCATGCTGCTGCTTCACCAAAGCAGCTGCTCATGTGGTGCGGCAGTGCGGACTCACTCTGGGATATGCGTCGGTTCCGCCTCGACCTGTGGCGTGTTTCGCTCGCTCTTAGATTTACTTACTGTGCATTGCTCCTGCGCAGAGTTTACGAGCTTTGCTTTCTCCCTTCCCTTTCACGAGGTGGAGGCGGGCTCTGCATGCGAGGCGGCAGTGCCACATGTGACAGAGGCGGAAGGACATAACACACCCGAGTTGTCCTCAAGGCCCATTCTTTATTCATCCATTGAGGTCGGGGCTACTGGTGTGATTACAACAAGATGGGAGCTGCAGGAGGAACTGTTGTCGCTTGCAGGTGGCGGTAGTGGCTTGTGGCGCTGGTTGGGCTCGCCACGAGCCGTGTGGGAGGTTGTTTCTGGAGCGGCTACTGACGCTACTGCCCCCACCAGCATGACATCCGCCGTCCGCGGTGGGCGCTACGCCGGTTATCTTCTTCCGTGGACGACAGTGGCGCACAGCCGTCATCCGCTAAGGCTGTACGATGAAAGCGGCCAGTCGGCCGCCGCGGCCGCCGCGTTTGACGTCGCCCTCAGTGCGCTTTTGCGGCAGGAGGGCGGAGCGGTGCTGCGGCTCGTGAGCCTTACCGAGGAGGCGGCGCTGTTCCACGACATGGCGTCCACGCCGGAGTTGTCGCTGGGCGCTGGTGTCAGTGTTATCCACCCCGAGGCTCTGCTGCGGCGGGCTTACGCGTTGGGAGTAGAGAAGGATGCCCACGGCGACGGCGACGATGACGACGACACTGAGGCTGACGGCCTCGATTAAAGCAAGCTGTAACAACACGCATCGCTGCTTGCGTCTTCCACTACTTCCAATACCGCTGCCTCATTCATTTCGTTTTCTTCTTACCGGTCACATGATAAAAGCAGAAATAACTGCCTTTTGTTGCTGTTGTTGTTGTTGTTGGCCCCAGCGAGGGATGTTGCAGCCGTATTCCTCTCATTCTGCGTTGTTATCCGCTGCTGTTGTTGTTGTTTTTCTTTTCCTGCGTGGGTGTTGTCCCTCGCCAGGTGTAGGAAAGGGGAAGGGGGGCAGTAGGGAAGACATGCTGCGTCCGTCCTTGCGTCTCCGCCACAAGGTGCGGGACGTCGGGGGAAACGCGCACAGTTTTGCCTTTGACACCATGACGAGGGTGTACCGCGACGCGGTGTACGCGAAGGAGGCACAGCCCACCTGGAACCCCATCTTCTCGGCAGAGCGGGAGATCGCGGCGGCGGCGGCGGCGGCGGCGGCGGCCGGCGGGGCAGATGCGCCGGCCCAGGCTTTCACGTTGTCTCAGGCAGGTGAAACAAAAAAACTGGATCGCGCCGCCGCCACCGCGGCGCTGTCCGGTGAGAGGCATCGGTCCCAACGACGAAGTGGGGTCCAGTTGGAGATTTTGAGTCTCTACCGTGACATGTTAAAGGCGTCACAGCGGATGGAGGACCCACAGGCGAGAAGGGACATGCGACGGTTTATTCGTGCTGAGTTTGATAGGAACCGCGATATCCCTCGCAAGTTTGTCACTCGCATTGAGTGGCAACTGCATCACGGGAAAAACAAACTAGAGGAACTGCGTGCCATGCGACCAGATACAAAGTTTTCCATTCTGAAGTGAAGTGCAAGTTCCTCCTCCTCTTTGCTTTTTTTGCCTTTTTCTTTTCGTTTCCTGCTTCCCTTTCCCGCCCATGTCTTCAAACTGTGGAGCGAAGGGGGTTGGGTGGGGTGGGGTTGGGGGAGGGGGGTTTGACGAGCAAAAGGTTTCAAACCGTTTCGCTGCCTCCCAACCACATTATTATTGTCGTTATTGTTGTTGTTGCTGTTGTCTCTGCCTCGCTTTGTTTCCTTTTGTCCCCTTCCTAAACTCATTGTGTGTGTGTGTGTGTGTGGGAGGGGTGGATAGTGCGGTGAATCTGAAAATATATTGCGTGTATTGAGTTAGGGTTGTCATTTGTGACAAGCTGCGTGAACCTGGGTGCGTGCTGCGGGGTGCGGGGTGCGCAGTTTCTGGTGTCATTACCGCTGCTGTTGCTGTTGCTGTTGTTCTTGCCGCACTGCCAGGTAGAGCGGTGACCATGCGGCCCACTCGCAACAGCCTCTTCCGACTAGCGCGGTGGCGGTGGTGCACGTTGCTGGGCAGCTCACAGAAGAAGACGTCGTTGCGGTTGGATGATGTTCCTCACGGTAGCCACGGTGTCTTGTGCGCTTCGGCACGATGGATTTACCGCCGTCATTGCGAGGCAGCTGTCTCTGGTCCCGATCTTTCCTCCGGCCTCTCCTCTTATTCTTCTCTCCCCACAGAGCATTTAACGAAGCCTCCCAGAACGATGTCGGCCAGCGATTGCAGGGGCGAGTCGGAGATGCTGAAAGTTCTCCAATCGCTTGGTATGGAGCTGCCTACCATCTCCCACGAGGAGAAGCACACCGTGGAGGAGGCAAATAAGGAGCTGAGTCGCTTTGGAACACCGTGCGTTGGCACCAAGAACATGTTTTTGAAGAGTAAGAAGGACGACCTGGTTCTCGTGACGGCGCTGCACACCACGACGACGAGCATGAAGGTGATACAGGATGCATTGTCGCTGAAGGACCTTCGCTTCGCCCCGGAGGAGCTTTTGCGGACCCACCTGGGCGTTGTACAAGGCAGCGTCACCCCGCTGGCCCTCGTGAACAACGTCTCAAAGAACGTCAAGGTGGTGCTGGACAAGGCGCTCGTGGAATGCCCCACCCCCTTCGTTCTGCACCCGTGCCGCAATGACAAGAGTTGCCTGATAACGCCCAAGCAGCTAAAGGAATTTCTGGGGAAGCTGGAGTTTCCATTTGTTGTGGTGGATTTTTCGGCAGCCACCGCCGGGGCTGCGCCGTCGGGTGGCGGTGCAAAGGCCAAGACCTCCGAGCCCAAACGGGAGCATGCAAAGAAAGCTCCGCAGGACGTGGCAACAGCCCCCGCTACCGGCGGTGCCAATGTTGCCGGCGAAACAAAGCTGGGCATTATGGTGAAGCGTGACGACAACTTTTCACAGTGGTACATCGAGGTCATTACCAAGGCTGAGATGATCGAGTACTACGATGTCTCCGGCTGCTACATCATCCGTCCGTGGGCTTTCTTTATCTGGAGGCGCATCCAAAACTTTCTCGGGTCCCGCATTGAAGGCATGGGGATTGAGGATTGCTACTTTCCTATGTTTGTGTCCAAAACCTGCCTGGAGCGCGAGAAGGATCACGTGGAAGGTTTTGCGCCGGAGGTGGCATGGGTGACAAAGGCTGGTGAGACCGACCTTGAGGTGCCTGTTGCTATTCGCCCCACAAGCGAAACGGTCATGTACCCCTATTACGCAAAGTGGATCCGTTCCCATCGTGACCTCCCGCTGAGACTAAATATGTGGAATAACGTTATCCGCTGGGAGTTTTCGCACCCCACGCCCTTTATTCGCACCCGGGAATTTCTTTGGCAGGAGGGCCACTGCGCGTGGCAGACGGAGGAGGAGTGCTCCGAGGAGGTGCTCCAAGTCCTTGACCAGTACGCCGCGGTCTACGAGGAATTGCTGGCTGTTCCAGTGGTGAAGGGAAAGAAGACGGAGAGGGAGAAGTTTGCCGGTGGCTATTACACAACGACGGTGGAGGCGTACATTGCGGCTGTTGGTCGCGGTTGCCAGGGCGCGACAAGCCACAACTTGGGTCAGAATTTTGGTAAGATGTTCAACATCAGCTTTCAGGATCCCGAGAAGAATGATGACTCGACGCTTATTCCGTGGCAGAACTCGTGGGGCCTTTCTACCCGCGTTATTGGTGTCATGATTATGGTTCACGGTGATGACGCAGGTTTGGTGCTTCCGCCGCGTGTCGCCTCGGTGCAGGTTGTCATCATTCCTGTGGGGATTACAAAGAATACGAAGGATGAGGAGCGAAAGGCCCTGCTGGAGGGGTGCAAGAGACTCGAAAAGGAATTGATGAAGGGCGGCATCCGTGCCAAGGCGGACCTCCGCGATAACTACAGCCCTGGATGGAGGTTCAATCACTGGGAGGTGAAGGGTGTACCAGTGCGTGTGGAGCTGGGACCAAGGGAGCTGGCATCGTTGAGGCTATCACTTGTCTTGCGCCACGACGGCAGTCGTCGCACTCTCGCATGGGACACGGAGATGCCAGCCGCAATGACGTCGCTGATGGACGAGGTTCACAACCGCATGTTTGATAAGGCTTCAAGGGATCGCCAGGAGAACACGAAGAAATTGACAGACTGGAAGGACTTCACACCTGCGCTCAATAAGAAGTTTTTGGTGTTGGCGCCGTGGTGCGGCGAGATGTCGTGCGAGGAGCAGGTTAAGAAGGACAGCGCGGAGGAGTCCAAGGCGATGCAGGGCGAGGAGGCGAGGGATGACGCACGTGCCCCGAGCATGGGGGCGAAAACGCTCTGCATCCCGTTTGAACAGCCAGAGTCCGTTGAGGGCAAAACATGTATCTGCAAGGACTGCAGTAGCCCTGCGAAGCACTGGGTGCTCTTTGGCCGCAGCTACTAGTGGGTTTTGCGGCTCGACAAGATGCCTTTGCTATTCTTTCTGGTGCGTTTTTCGCCGAGCGTAAAAGCGATGCGCGTGCTGGTAAGCAGGGGAAGCTTGTGGGACACCAGTGGATATATATATATATTGCTGTTTGACTGCAAGGCGAAAACGTGTGGGAAAGCGGGGAAAGAGAAAGGAGGGAGGTAGGCTTATTGGGTGTGCGTGTGTGCGTGTGTCACGCGGCTGCAAGGGCAACCCTATCCCATCTCCTCCTCCTCATCATCCCCCCTTTTTTGTTTTTCTTCATTTCTCATCACGAAGGCGAGGAGGAACCGGTGGTGGGAGGAGCGCCGAACTGCTGCGGAAGAGGCGAATGCCACCTCCTCGTCCTGCATGGTGCGATCTGCGTTTATTATGAATGAAAACTAATACGGGCCCGTTGAATAAGTCAATGAATTCTGCTAAGAAAGAGGGAGATGTAAGGAGGAAAAAAATACATCGACACCGAAGGAGAGAACGGAAAAAAAAGCGATAGGGGGAAAAAATGGAGAGAAGGGCAGGACAAACATTGGTGGGTAGAAGGTGCGCTGAGCTCATGCATTTCTCTGCTATATGGGGAGAATTCTTTCTGCTTTTTCGTTTTCCTTTCTTCTGTGGGCGGGGGGTCAACGTCACTGGGCTGGTGCGGGTATTTCAAGTATAGAGAGATTTGCGATGCCTCCCTTCTGTTTCCTATTTTTCCCTTCTCGGTTCCCAATTTTTCCGATTCTTGCTTGACAGTGAGGGCGGAATTTCCTCGTGACCGGGCCCTGAAGGGAAAGGCAGGTGCGAGCGTGTGTGCCTGCGTTTCTGC